TAGTTTTGTTGGCCCACGGAGCCACCTTCCCGCCTCACCTTTTTCCTGGACCTGATCCCTGATTGCCCTTTTGGAACGTGCTTGCCCTGCGATAGGTGGGAGCAGGGTTTTTTTTTTTTTTTCTTGAGAGGTCAAGCCAGGGACGGTGGAAGGGGGGGGACTACATTTCCCAGGATGCGCCGCGAAGGGACACGCAGTCCCTCTTAAAAGCCGGCTGAGCCCAGCGCCCGGCGGAGGCAGGTACGTGGGTCCACGCGTTTCCGCTTCGCACAGCTCACCCCTCCACTCGCCAATTCGCGGCCTGATCTCTGCGAGGGGCAGGGCCGAGGCAGGGAGTCCCGGAAGAGCTCTGCTGGCACCCTGGGCACCCCCTGGCTGCAGGGGGTCGGGGTCAGCAGGTCCTGCCACCCTTTTGCTCGGGTCTTGCCATGGGAGTAGGAGACTTGGGGACGCCGGGAAGAGGGAGGAGATAGGGGCACCCACAGGCAGGTGGGGTGCTGGATGTCTTCGCTGTTTGAGGTCGCTTTTCCCGCCTCAGTGTGCACGACGCGGGTCTGGTCACTGTGCACAAATCTCAGTTACAGCGAGTCCCCTCTGGATCCGCGGTTTTGCTTTTACGTGAGGTCTTCCACCGGGAAAATAGTAAATGGAAATCCCAGAAATAAGCACTGCGTGCTTTAAGTTGTCTGAAGTTCTGAGTGAACTGATGAAGGCTTAAGACTCCCTCCTGCCTGGGATATAAATCACCCCTTTGTCCCACATATCCCCGCTGTTATATGCTACCAACTGGTTAGTAACTTAGTAACTTTCTTGGTTATCAGATCCACCGTCAGGTATCGAAGTTCAGGTAACCCTTATTTGACGTGATAATGGCCCCGTAGTGCAAGGGTAGTGGGGCTAGCCATTCAGATGGTCCACCGTGAAGTGTTTCCTTTTTTTTTTTTTGAAGTGCTTCCTTTATGTGAGGTGAGAGTTCTCCACTTACTAAGGAAAGAGAAAAAAAATCATATGCTGAGGTTGCTAAGATCTGTGGCAAGAATGAATCTTCTATCTGTGAAATTGTGAAGAAGGGAAAAAGAAATCTGTGCTAGCTTTGCTGTCACTTCAAATTGCAAAAGTTACACAGCCGCGGTAAGGGATAAGCGCTTCGTTAAGATGAAAAGGGGCATTCAATTTGTGGGTAGAAGACATGAACAGAAAATGTGTTCTGATTGATGGCAACATGTTGTGCCTGAAAGCAGTGAGCCTACACAAAGACTTCAGCAAAGGGTCCCCTGAAAAGATTGACACCAAGCCATTTACAGCAAGTAATAAAAAAAAATTATGGGACAGCCTAGCTGGTTTGGTTCAGTGGATAGAATGTCGGCCTGTTGACTGAAGGGTCCCAGGTTCGATTCCGGTCAGGGGCACATGCCCCTGTTGCAGGCTCGATACCCAGGGTGGGGCCTGCAGGAGGAAAGGAAGGGAGAGGGAGAGAGAGAGAGAGAAACAATGATGAGAATCATTGATCGGCTGCCTCCTGCATGCCCCCCTACTGGGGATCGAGCCCACAATGTGGACATATGCTCTTGGCCGGAATCGAAACCCAGAACAGCAGGCCTATACTATCCACTGAGCCAAACCGGCTAGGGCTTCCCTGATTGTTTTTCTTCTTCAGGATCATCTTTGACTCAGAAGCTCTTTCAGAGCCTTCATTCCTACCAGCTTCAGAGCCAAGTTAAACTCTCCTGCTTCCTTTCCCTGCTGGGGAGAACTACCATTCATTGAGCTCCCGCTGTGTGCTGCCTATTTTACATCTTATTTAACACTGGTCATGGTCCTAGGAGGTTCTAGGAGGTCGGTGTTGTTGGCCCTAGTTTTCACATTAGGAAATGGAGGCTCAGAGAGGTGAAATCATTAAGAGGCGAAGAAGCACCTCCCCATTTCATTGCCACCTGAATGGAGCCCTTTATATATATTTATTCCTTTTGTTCTTTTTTTTTTCTTCTTCATTCCTACACAGCAGGTTCGGTGTAGTGGTTAAGAGAATGGACTTTGGAACCAAAGTGTCTGAGCTCAGGTTTTTGTTTATTTATTAATTCAATTTACTGGGGAGACATTGGTCAACATGAACATAAAGGTTGTTCTCTGGTGTGGGTTTCTGTGCTACAATATCTGTGCATGGCACCCTGTGCCCACCACCCAAAATCAGGTCACCTGTCACCACTGAGTTCGGATTTGGCTCTGCCACTTGCTAACTGTGTGACCTTGGACATGTGACTCAGTCTCCCCGTGCCTCATCTGTTTTTTTTAAGGATAAAGATAGTACTTTCCACACATTAAGTTAGAGGTTCGCACAGTGATTGCTCTTTTGACGGTGCCAAGAAGGAGATGATAGTATACTCTCCATATTGGTTCAGGTCCTTGGAGAAGCCGAGACCAAGATGGGGGTAGAGTTATTGGAGGGAGGGAAGAGAAGGAGGGAAGTGGAGGCAGCAGGGGAGTGATGGGCAGGAGCAGTCTCAGACTGAGGTTCTATGAGTTTCTGTGAGGCGGGTTGGAGTCCTGGGGCCACGATTGCCCATCAGAGGGTCCCTAAATTGCCGGAAGGGGTCTGTCTTCCTGGTCCTGCTGCGCAGAGTCATTGGTTGGGAGCAGTTGGGAAGCATGGCCTCCATGTGAACAAGCTGGGGATGATGGTCACTTACATGCCTGCTTCAGGAGGCTGGAGGGGGCAGGGGCGCCAAAGATCACATCAGTACGTTGATGGTCAAGTGGGAATCTCCTCCACCCATTTCTCCCGAAGGCCATCTGGGCATCCCTGGGAATGCCTTCACCCTCGGGAGCCTGGCCAAGATCTCAGCTCAGATTTCCCCTCTGGACTTCCCTCCTGGGCTGAGCAGGGAACAGAGCACTTTCTGTTTGCGGTGAGGCTTTCCCCTGTGAGCTTGTGGGCTTGTGGGTGTTGTTAAGTGGTGGTGTCTGCCCGCCCGTGGCAGAGGAATCGGGCCTGAGAAGACACCAGCTGAGGTGCCTCTGGGAAGGCATGCAGCGAGCGCCCCCATTGCTCTGACACTGAGCTCTGGGGGTTGGAGGGAAGGGGTGGGGTGGGCTGCTTCCCAGGACAGCCGTGGGGACTCTGCCAGAGGCAGATGCCAGGGCACTCCCGGGGACTTGTCTGCAGAGGTCTCGGGGAGGCCAGGGGCCCTGGAGTCAGATCAGTTTCCCGTCTGGTAGGAGAGTAACGTTGGGGGAGATAGGAAGGGGGTGAAACCATAACTTTGGCCTCATCTTCCCCTCACTTGCTCAGAGGGCCTGAGAGAAGATGGTGGCAGGTGGGGTTGCAGCCTCTTTCAGGTGGGGAGTCTCTGGGAGGGGAGATCTCCCCCCCCAACCCCCACTGTGAAGTCCCTAATAGCCGGCACCATTGGCACCCTGCCTAGGTCCCCTGAACAGGCTGGTGCACTCCTCCCACAGCTGTCCCCTTATCCAGGGAATTCCCTCCAGCCTCAGGAGCCTGGGAGGTTAGGCCCTCCCTCCTCCCAGATCACAGCCAATGACTGAATGCTGAGGGGCCAGTGGTGCAGAAAGGGGTAGGCCCTTGCTCCCCTTACGTGCACCCAGAGGAAATCACGTGCACCCAGAACTAGAAAGTCAAAGACACGCTTATCACATGACCCAGCAATCCCACACCAAGGTATCCACCGGGAGAGATGAAGTCTTAGGTTCATTCCAAATTTGCACATGAATGTTTATAGCAGCTCTGATCATGGCTGTCAAAACCTGGAAGCAGCCCAGATGTCCTTCAGGGAGTGGATGGAGAAACAGACTGTGGCAGGTCCGTGCGGAGAAACAACTGCAGTGCTGATAGACACAGGCCACTTGGGTGAATCTCAGAGGCATGATGTTGGGTGAAAGAAGCCAAACTTAAAAGATTCCATTCCAGCCGAAATCGGTTTGGCTCAGTGGATAGAGCGTCGGTCTGCGGACAGAGGGGTCCCGGGTTCAATTCCGGTTGAGGGCATATACCTTGGTTGCAGGCACGTCCCCAGTGGGGGGTGTGCAAGAGGCAGCAGGTCGATGATTCTCTCTCATCGATGTTTCTAGCTCTCTGTCCCTCTCTCTTCCTCTCTGTAAAAAAATCAAAAAATATATTTTAAAAAAAGATTCCATTCCAACTCTAGCTGTAGAGAACTGATGGGGGATTGTCAAGTGTGACTGTAATCGTGGTGGCCACAAGAATCTATGCGAGTGTTAACATTCATAAAACAACACAAAAATCCCCTTGGTGACAGGTTTCCAGGGGGAGGAAAAAAAAATTAAAACTTCGCATTTCTAGAAACTTTGTCATCTCCAAAGCAAAAGAAAACAGATAAGGAACTTAAACATTCTTTACCTCTAAGTGTGGTGTGTGTGTGTGTTTTAGTTAAAAAAGAAATTATTAAGCCTTGTCTCTAACATAACATAATTTTTTTAATAAACCTTTATTGTTCATATTATTACAAAAGTTCCTCATTTTTCCCCTCCACCAGGTCCCTGCCCCACCCTCTGCCCTTTCCCCACCCCCCATTGTCCTCATCCATAGGTGCACAGTTTATGTTCAGCCTCTTCCCTCACCCCTCACTCCCCTTTTGCCTGAGAATCATCAGTCCACTCCCCTTCCATACCTCTGATTCTATTATAGTCAACAGTTAATATTGTTCATCAGGTTTTTTAATTCCCTTGTTTTGTTTTTTAAATTAATTTATTATTATTATTATTATTATTATTATTATTATTATTTTTATTGGCTTCCAAAGGGGAGTTAAGGTCAAAAGGAGTTTCAGGTGTGCCCAGATCCTATTCATCAAAATCTGGATAAGCTCCTTATTTTTTGGTACAAGATTTAGCATATCGAGACCTGGGATAACTTATAATTTTTTTAAAAAAAGCAACACAAAAATCAATTTTAGGCTATGATAACAAAATAATTCATGTACATCTCTATTTCTGCCTCAGGAAGCCCCTCAACTTTGGCTAGAATGGAGCAGGCCAAGGGAGTGGATTGGACGGTTATCATCCTGACATACCAGTACAAGGACAGTGTGGAGGTCTTCCAGAAAGGTAGGGGACCCTCCCTCCGCACTCTGCCCTAATGTCGGAACCCTCCCCATAACCCCTATACCTCCTATAGCTCAGACCTAGAATCTGCCTCTTCCTAGCCGTGTGACCTTTGGCCTATCGTGTCACCTCATTGAGACTCGGTTCTCTCATCTGTCCAATGGGAATAATTGTACCTACCTCACCGGGTTGGGCAAAGAGCTAATGAGCTACTACTGCATGAAACGCTACCGAGTCAAGGATGAAATAATACATTATCAGTAGGTTTGCGTTAGCTGCCTGGGAGCAGGGCTGGGAGGCCAGGGAGCAGGTCCCAGCTGTGTGTCCTGACCACAGAGCTGGAGGTGCGGCAGAAACGAGAGCAGATCCCCGCCGGGACTTTGCTGCTGGCCGTGGAGGACCCTGAGACGCGCGTGGGCAGCGGCGGAGCCACCCTCAACGCCCTGCTGGTGGCTGCCGAACACCTGAGCGCCCGGGCGGGCTTCACCGTGAGTGCTCACGTCGTCCCTCCGTGGCTTTGTGTCGGGGCCTCTCCCCAGACGAGAGGGGGCCGCCCTCGGTGCCATCCGCCCGGGCCTCTGTCTACAGGGCTCTTCCACTCCTGACAGGTGGTCACCGCGGATGTGCTGCAGTCGGCCCGGATCCTCATCCTGCACATGGTTAGTACGATGCTGGGCGGGGTGCCATGCAGAAAGCTGGGACCGTCAATCTCCAGGGTTGGGTAGGGATGCGTTTGCAAGATGTTTGTTTTTTTTTTTTTTTTTGTGGGTGCAAATCCAGAAGAATTGGAGTCAGAATGGATCCAAGTATCCAAAAAAAAAATAGAAAGCTGGCTGAATATAAATAGCATACCATCCTGGTGGGATAGTAGAAAGGGATTAATAAGTCCATCTAATTCTGTGCCTTGAAAGAGACTTCCCAGCTCTGTGACCCTGGGCAAGGCACTTGACTCTTTCCAGGCCTCCGTTTCCCCATCTGCAAAATCAGGATGGCGGTGGTTCCTGCTTTGTGTGGATGTGCTGAGATGATCCGTTAAATGCTTAAAGTGGGACCAGCCTTTATATAGTTCCCAATGTTATTTCCCCAGTTTTACCTGTGTGTGTGTGTGTGTGTGTGTGTGTAAGTTCTGTTGTTTCTACCTTTTGAGAATCTCATTTTTGTAAAAAATAAAATAAAATTCGAAACCTGTTTGGCTCAGTGGATAGAGCATCAGCCTGCAGACTGAAAGGTCCCAGGTTCAATTCCGGTCAAGGGCATGTACCTTGGTTGTGGGCACATCCCCAGTGGGGGGTGTGCAGGAGGCAGCTGATGGATGATTCTATCTCATTGATGTTTTTAACTCTCTATCCCTCTCTCTTCCTTTCTGTAAAAAAAATAAATAAAATAGCCAAAACTGGTTTGGCTCAGTGGATAGAGCATCGGCCTGCAGACTGAAAGGTCCCGGGTTCAATTCCGGTCAAGGGCATGTACCTTGGTTGTGGGCACATCCCCAGTCGGGGGTATGCAGGAGGCGGCTGATCGATGTTTCTCTCTCATTGATGTTTCTAACTCTCTATCCCTCTCCCTTCCTCTCTGTAAAAAAATCAAAATATATATATTTTTAAAAAATCAATAAAATATATTTAAAAAATAAAATAAAAAATTAAAGAATATATGCATATAAGTCTGAAAGGATATACCTCAAAATGAGAGGAATAGTTATTACTCCTGAGAGATTTTCTTTTTGCCTATCTGAATTTTCTAACTCTTTACTGGAATCATGTACTTGGGAGAATTACATGAGAAAACCCTCTGGCTGGATGACTTTACGCCTTTGCACAGCTCCCGGGGTGTCCCTGGGCTTTCTGCCCCAAGGGCTCCTTCCCCTATCCCCCGCCTCAGGGCCGGGACTTCCCCTTCGATGACTGTGGCCGTGCCTTCACCTGCCTCCCCGTGGAGAACCCCCAGGCCCCCGTGGAGGCTCTGGTCTGCAACCTGGACCGCTTGCTGGACATCATGACCCATCGGGTGAGGCCAGCGGGCGCCTTAGGGCCTTGTTCCCCTCCCATTGCACCACCCGTGATAGATAGCCCGTCCTGGCTCCTACGGGATGCCCGGCAAGAATGGCTTTGGCGGAGCCTGGAGCTAGAGCTTTAGGCAATTCGTGTTGGCAAACCTGCAGGGAGGCGTGGGCAGGAGGGTCTGGGAAGGCCCCTGTGACCTCAGAGTCTCCCTGGAGCAGGGGGACAGGCTGGACGCTGGGCTGCGTGGGGAGCAGAGAAAGGGCTGGGCCAGGCCACCGCCTGCATCTGTGCTCTCCCCCGCAGCTGGGCCCGGGCTCCCCGCCCGGCGTGTGGGTCTGCAGCACCGACATGCTGCTGTCCGTGCCTCCCAACCCAGGTGAGCCCCCCGAGACGGCGCGGGACCTCCTTCCTGCGTGGCCAGAGGGGGGCTGGGCCTGTCCTAGCTCACCGTTCCTGGGCCTGGCCCACTGCCCCATTCAGAGGGGAGGCTGTCGAACGGAGACACCAGCCCTGCCCCTTCTGCCCTCCCAGGCTGGGGTAGAACTTTGGGAGGGGAGGGGAGGCGTTGTCATTCTCCCAGAGGAATGTCCACGTGGCTTGGGAGCCATCTTTCCCTTGTAGAGGTGCCCAGATACCCCCGCCCCGAGCTCTTATCTTTACCTGGTTGGGGCCTCCCTGCCTTAGGTGGGTGGGGGCCCCAGGGAGGCCCCTGACTTCTCTGCTCACAGGGATCAGCTGGGACGGCTTCCGGGGAGCCAGAGTGATCGCCTTCCCAGGAACCACAGCCTACGCCCGGAACCACGGCATCTACCTCACCGACGCCCAGGTAGTGCCCCTGGGGCCGTGGGCACGGGCCGCTGAGCCGGGCTGGGCTGGGCTGGCCTCCTGGCCCTGTGCTCTGGGCGGCCTCTCGCCCTGGACTCGCTGGTACAGTCTGGATTCGGAGAAGTTTCCTCTCTGGCAGCAGCCCTCAGGCTCACTGGGTCTGTCACCCAACGGGCCTTGCACATGGCCCCCGGGGCCAGGCTCCGTGCTGGGCGGGGCCGGGAAGACATGCAGAGCACTGTCGGGTGGGACAGTGCTCCCCTCGCAGCACGCTGGGACCTTCAGACATGCACCTGGGTTTTTCCCGGAGAACGGCCTCGCTGTGTCCCTGACCCTGATGGTCCTTGGCCCCCTCCCCTAGCTCTGCTCTCTCCCCCGACACAGGGCTTCGTCTTAGACATTCACTACCAGGCCGGCGAGGCGGACTTGCAGCGGTGCGCCAGGCCCGATGGGCGGGTGCCACTGGTAGGGCTGCCGCCCGGGTTGGGGGGCTCTGGGGGGCCCCGTGGAAGAGGGAGGGTTTGCCTTCCTGCTCGGGGGAAGAGCTCTCCTCCTCCTGGAAGACTCCAGGGCAGGACAGAGCCAGAATGTGAGGTGGAGGAGCAGGAGGAGCGAGAGTCTGAGGAAAGGGTAGAGGACGTTCAGGAATGCACTGGGAGGAAGTCTGGAGGCCAACGTGGGGGCTCCTTCCAGAATGAAGGACAGGGATCCGCGTGGTGGGTGAGGGTCTGGGACCAGACCAGGGGGTGATCGAGGACTAGGTTTTTTTTAATTTTTTAATTTTTTTTTACTTTATTGATTTTTTACAGAAAGGAAGAGAGAAGGACAGAGAGCTTGAAACATCGATGAGCCGAGACCGGTTTGGCTCAATGGATAGAACGTCGGCTTGGGGACTGAGGGGTCCCGGGTTCGATTCCGGTCAAGGGCATATACCTTGGTTGCGGGCATATCTCCAGTAGGGGGTGTGCAAGAGGCAGCTGATCGATGACTCTCTCTCATCGATGTTTCTGACTCTCTTATCTCTCTCCCTTCCTCTCTGTACAAAATCAATAAAATATATTAAAAAAAAAAAAGAAGTAAAAAAAAAGAAACATCGATGAGAGAAAATCATCGATTAGCTGCCTCTTGGACACCTCCCACTGGGGATGTGCCCGCAACCAAAGCACATGCCTTGACCAGAATCGAACCTGAGACCCTTCAGTCCGCAGGCCGACGCTCTATCCACTGAGCCAAACCGGTTTCAGCAGGACTAGGTTTTTTGTGGGGGAAGGCCTAAAAACTGAGAGGGGTCCCTGTTCAGGGGACCCCCCCTCCAGGGGGCCTGGGATCCGTGTGCAGGAGTGGTCCCGAGGGTGAAGGACTCGCCTGGCACAGCAGCCAGCCTTTGGGTCCATCTTTATTTGTCTCCCCCAACTCAGGCCCACGCCTGACCCCAGGGCCCCCCCCACCTGACCCTCCCGGGGGTTCCTCCAGGTCTCCGGAGTCGCCTTTTTCTCCGTGGAGACCGCCGAGCACCTCCTGGCCACTCACGTGAGCCCACCCCTGGACGCCTGCACCTACATGGGCTTGGACTCTGGAGCCAGGCCTGTCCAGGTGACTGAGCGTGGGGGCGGGGGCCCTGGCCTGGGGGAAAGACCCTGACACTGGCTCTGTGACCTCAAGGCGGCCCCTTCCCCTCTCAGGGTCCGTGCCTCTGGGGATGGGACTGCCCCCAGTTTGGCCCAGGAACCCCTCAATAGCTGTGCTTCCTATCCTCGTCCCAGCTGTCTCTGTTTTTCGACATCCTGCTGTGCATGGCCCGGAACGTGAGCAGAGAGGCCTTCCTGGCGGGGCGGCCTCCGGAGACGGGGCGCAGCGACGCCGACATCGAGGGCTATCTCCGGGTCGCTCGGGCCACGCTGTGGCGGGAGCTCCGTGACCAGCCCCTCACCATGGGTGGGTGCTGCCTCTCGGCTGCCTGGGCAGGGAGACCACAGAGTGAGGACCCCCTGCCCTACCCAGCGCTGCAAGGCTGCCCTGCCTGGTCCCTGGGCTCCTGGACCGGGCAGGTCTCGTGCATGTGTCAGCCCATTGTCCTCTCCCAACCCAGAGGCCCGACACCCCCGACTCCCCCCAACCCCCAATAACTCTCCTCTTTTGTCTTTTTTTTTTTATTTAAAATAATATATTTTATTGAGTTTTTACAGAGAGGAAGGGAGAGGGAGAGAGAGTTAGAAACATCGATGAGACAATCATCGATCAACTGCCTCCTGCACACCCCCTTCTGGGGATGTGCCCGCAACCAAGGTACATGCCCTTGACCGGAATCGAACCTGGGACCTTTCAGTCTGCAGACCGACGCTCTACCACTGAGCCAGACCGGTGTCGGCCGGCTCTTCCTTTTGTCTTATTCCTGGGCTCCAGTCCCAGGCTCTCCATGTCCTAGCTGTGCGACTCTGGGCAGGTTACCGAGCCTCTCTGGATTTCAGCTTCCCCATCAGCGAAGATGTGTCTTCTGGCTGGAGGCCTGGCTGGGCTCAGGGCAGCAGCAGCGGGCAGAGGGGTGGGGTCATTGCTTGTGTCTTTTCAGCGTATATCCCCGACGGCAGCTACAGCTACATGACCACCTCGGCCAGCGAGTTCCTGCTCAGCCTCACGCTTCCTGGGGCTCCCGGGGCCCAGGTTGTGCACTCTCAGGTGGAGGTGAGACCAGCAGAGCTGCCTGAGGACCGGTGGGATAGGGGCTCCCAGAAAGGGAAGGAATAGCCTGTGCATGGAGCAGATCGCCCAGGAATACAGACGTCCTTATCCCCATTGGGCGCCAGGCCGCGGAGGCTCAGACAGGTTCAGTAACTTGCCTGAGGCCACAGAGCCCGAAAGGGGTCACGTTAGGAGTCTCCATCCAGGTCTGCCTGGGGGAGAAGCCAGAGAAGACCCCACCCCTTTCTTTGGGGTCCATTTGGGGGAGACAAGCACATGTGAGGGGATGGGCCTGGGTAGGTTTCCGAGGTTGCCCTCCACGTGGCGGGGGGGGGTCCCTGGACCGGTGGGAGAGGTTTTCTGGGGAAGCTGCCATCGGGCGGGACCTCCATGTCTGAGTTCGGACTTCTCTGGGGGACCGTGCAGGAGAGCTCGCCGCTGGGAGCAGCGTGAACGAGCTGGGATGGGAGTCAGCCGGAAGTTGGGGCCAGGGCAGGGTATAGAGGGCGCTCACGACCTTCTCCCGGGCTGCTCAGGAGCTGCAGCTGCTGGGAGCTGGGAGCTCTGTGGTCAACTGCCTGCTGGAGGGCGCCGTCCGGCTGGGCGCCGGGAGTGTCCTGCAGCACTGCCACCTGCAGGTGAGGCCCGAGAGCAGGGGAGGGCGGGCAAGGTGGTGGGGGTCAGGCCCTGGGTGTATGTGTGTGTGTGTGTGGGGGGGGGGGTGCCTGGAGCGGCACCATCCCCTCAGGATGCCTGCCCTCTCCCTCGCCAGGGCCCCATTCACGTCGACACCGGTTGCTTTGTGAGCGGCCTGGACGCGGCCCAGTCGGAGGCGCTACGGGGCTTGGAGCTGCGCGATCTGGTCCTGCGGGGGCACCAGGTGCGGCTGCACGGAGCCCCTGTGCGTGCCTTCACCCTGGTGGGACGCCTGGACAGCTGGGAAGTAGGTGTCACCCCCATCTTCAGGCTTTGGGGGGCCCCGGGACCCCAGCCCAGGTTCCACTCCGCTGCAGGGCTCGCTGCACGCTGGCCCGAGGGATAGGCTGTAGCCTGTCGAGTCTCACCATGCCTTCCTCTCCCTCCTCAGCGGCTCTGCCAGGCTGGAGCCTGAGGTTCAGAGAGGGAGGTGGCCTGCCCCGGGCTGCAGAGCCAATGAGAGAGGACTGGGCCTGGAACCGGGATTCTGCGCCAGGTTCCCGGGCACCTTGGGCAGGATCGCTGAAATCCAGGGCTTGACACAACGGTGTTTTCAGAAGCTGCTTTCCTATGTGCAAGTCTCCTCCTGTCCCCTCCGGTCTTCGTGTTCCCTACCCCTCCCCTTCCTGTGGTTCCCGAAGCCCTGACTGCTTCCTCCGCTTCCCCCAGAGGCAGGGGACAGGAACATACCTCAACATGCCCTGGGATGAGTTCTTCCAGAAGACAGGCATTCGGTAAGAGGGACTCCAGGGCGGCCGCTTCTTCAGGCTCATCTCTGCCTCAGCCCCAGAGCAGCACCTGCCCTCCCTCCCACCAGCCCCGGGGCCGGGGGTGGTTTGGGGCAGCCTGATCCTCCCCAGCACTTTCCCCCTGGACAGTTCCTATGTCCTGCCTGTGCTCAGGCTTTTTGGGATTTTGTTCAGAGGCCTGGGCAAGGGGGCAGGGCAGTTTGTCTCCCGCCCCAAGTTGCCTGCTTGTGCCACCACCTAGATCAGTGTTTCCCGAAGTGTGGTACGCGTACCCCCAGGGGCACGGGAAGAGTTTGGTGGGGGTACGCGTTGCACCGGAGTTTGGTGGGGATATGTACTGCAGCGTGCTTAGCTGCGCCTAATTCTACGTTCTCATATGAGTACGAGGGGACTCAGCGTTACGAAAATTATAGAAGGGGTACACATATGTCAAAAGTTTGGGAAACACTGACCTAGAGGAATTTGTCCTGTCCCCCCCCTACTCCCTGTGAATTAGCCAGCCCCCAGTGGACAGGCAGTCAGGCCTCGGGGAGGAAGCAGGAGCCCAGGCTTCCCTCCTGCTCACGTGCCTTCTCCCCCTCCCCAACATCAGAAACTGGGACCTGTGGAACCCGGACACGCCCCCCACGGAGCGCTGTCTCCTCAGCGCCCGCCTCTTTCCCGTGCTCCACCCCTCGAGGGCCCTGGGGCCCAGGGACATGCTGTGGATGCTGGACCCCCAGGAGGACGGGGGCGAGGCCCTGTGGGCCTGGCGGGCCTCCTGGCGCCTGTCCTGGGAGCAGCTGCAGCCCTGCCTGGACCGCGGCGCCACCCTGGCCTCCCGCCGGGACCTGTTCTTCCGCCAGGCCCTGCACAAGGCGCGCAGGGTGCTGGAGGCCAGGCGGGACCTCAGCCTGCGCCCGCTGATCCGGGCCGCCGTCCGCGAGGGCCGCCCCGGGCTCCTGCTGGCCACGCTGGACCAGGGTGAGCGGCTGCGTTTCTGTGTGGGGAAGCCAGAGCCGGCGTCCCCGGCCCTAGCTGCCCTCTGGGTGGATGATGACAGGAGGTGGGAGACTGCAAAGCCGGGGAGAGACACAGTGGAGTTTGCTTCCAGATTCCTGGGAGCTTCGTTGTTGTCAGTAGGGGGTTGGACGAGAGGCTGAGGCCTGGGCCCGAGCCTCTGGGCCCAACAAGTATCAGCAAACCCTACGTGTTTTGTACTGGAGGTGCCAGAGCCCCAGGGGAGGTGGCAGGCTCTCCAGGCAGGCAGCACCTCATTTATGATCCCCAGTGATGGTGGAAAGTGACCCCTATTTGAAGTTAACCACATACAGCGGGTGGGGTGGCACTGAGACCGAACACGGGCAGTTTGACCCCGAGTCTGAGTTCTTTTTTAAAAATATATTTTATTGATTTTTTTACAGAGAGGAAGGGAGAGGGATAGAGAACTAGAAACATCGATGAGAGAGAAACATCGATCAGCTGCCTCCTGCACACACCCCTCATTGGGGATATGCCCGCAACCAAAGTACATGCCCCTGACCAGAATTGAACCCGGGACCCTTCAGTCCACAGGCTGACGCTCGTGTCCACTGAACCAAACTGGTTTTGGCACTGAATCTGAGTTCTTAACCACTCTGGGCCACCTGGGTGAGGGATAAAGAGGCACAGCTGGGCTGGGCTGGGCGGGGCTGGGCTGGGCTGGGGTCGGCAGGATGAGAACTTTGTGCCAAGCCGAGGCGTGGGGTGTGCATTCACAGGCGAGGGTACATCTTGGGCAAAGTGAAGAGGTGTGAGGGACCGGGCGTGTCTGCGGGCTGTTGAGCAGTCTCTCGGGGAAGAGGGCATTGGGGGTGGGTCCCCTCCCTAACCACCCGGCTTCTGGCCCCTCAGTGGCAGCGGGTGCAGGAGACCCAGGCGTGGCGGCCCGGGTGCTGGCCTGCGTGGCAGACGTCCTGGGCTGCATGGCAGAAGGCCAAGGTGGCTTACGGAGCGGGCCGGCTGCCAATCCCGAGTGGGTCCGGCCCTTCTCGTACCTGGAGTGCGGAGACCTGGCTGGGGGCGTGAAGGCCCTCGCCCAGGAGCGGGACAAGTGGCTGAGCAGGTGGGTGCCAATGACGTCAGAACCCTGGAGAAGCCCCTGATCATTCTTTTATATATATATATAAAATTGATTTTTCACAGAGAGGAAGGGAGAGGGATAGAGAGTTAGAAACATCGATGAGAGAGAAACACCGATCAGCTGCCTCCTGCGCACCCCCTACTGGGGATGTGCCCACAATCAAGGTACAATGCCCTTGACTTGAATCGAACCTGGGACCCTTGAGTCCGTAGGCCGATTGCTCTATCCACTGAGCCAAACCGGTTTCAGCATCATTCTTACAGGTGCAAACCCAGAGAGAGGTGGGGCCCACGGAAGTCAGGGCCCCGAACCCAGACAGCCTGCCCCCCCCCCCCCCGCCTCCGCTTGGGTTTGGGGCTCCATGCCTCCCTCTCTCCCTTCCCTCTCGGCAGGCCGGTCCTGTTAGTGCGAGCTGCTCGCCACTACGAGGGGGCCGGGCAGATCCTGATCCGCCAGGCCGTGATGTCCGCCCAGCGCTTTGTCTCCACGGAGCCTGTGGGGCTGCCGGCCCCCGGGCAGTGGGTGGTGGCCGAGTGCCCGGCTCGCGTGGATTTCTCTGGTGAGCCCCTCGGAGGGGGGTACGGGTAGCCGCCCCAGAGCTGGGCAGGCGGCCCCCTGACCAGTGTGGTCCTGCTCGATCCCACAACAGGAGGCTGGAGCGACACGCCGCCCCTGGCCTACGAGCTGGGGGGGGCGGTGCTGGGCCTGGCTGTGCGAGTGGACGGCCGCCGGCCCATCGGGGCCAGGGCGCGCCGCATCTGGGAGCCCGAGCTGTGGCTGGCGGTGGGGCCTCGGCAGGACGAGATGGCCATGAAGATAGTGTGCCGGAGCCTGGAGGACCTGAAGGACTACTGCCAGCCCCACGCTCCAGGTCAGGCGCCCAGGACACCTGCCGGCGGGAGCGGCACACGCAGCTCGCGGGGGGGCAGGGCAGAACCCCGGAGACCCCGCTGGCCACGGGGGGGCCTGGCTTGAGGGCTAGCCATTCTGCTTGAGGAGCCCCGAGGTCTCCTTGCCCAGGTGCGTGCGGCTGCAGGAGGTACAGCTGGCACATTTGCCCATGTTGGGGAGCCCAGGGGTCTTTTGGGGGCTTGCACTGCTGCTGGGCTTTTGTCCCCGAGATGGGAAATAGTGGCGGTGGGCGGTATGTCTGCGTCTGCCTTTGGAGACCCAATGCCCTGCTGGGTGCTGCTCCCCTCCGCAGGGGCCCTGCTGAAGGCGGCCTTCATCTGTGCGGGGATCGTGCACGTCAGGTCCAAGCTCTCGCTGAGCGAGCAGCTGCTGCGCAGCTTCGGGGGCGGCTTCGAGCTGCACACCTGGTCTGAGCTGCCCCACGGCTCTGGCCTCGGTGAGTGAGCCCTGCTGTCCTGCTGCCCTCCGGCCTCTCCTTCCTTCCTCCTCACCATCCCTGCCCAACAGGCCGAGGGGGCGGGGCCGGTCTGGGCTGCGCAGAGGTGTTTCATGCCCGCCTGGCCTCTCCCCTGCCCTGCAGGCACCAGCAGCATCCTGGCGGGCACCGCCCTGGCCGCCCTGCAGCGGGCCGCGGGCCGGGAGGTGAGCAGGGAGGCCCTGATCCACGCAGTGCTGCACCTGGAGCAGGTGCTCACCACAGGTACGGGGCTGCCCCTGCGGGGAGGGAGGGAGGCCACTGGCACTCTGCCAAGCCTCCAGGGCTGCCCTGGGCTTGTGGCCGGCAGCCACAGACTGCGGCTCCTCCCTTATCGCTCTGACCTCCGGTGATGTTCAACTGGAGGTATTTCTACTTCACAGGAGCGGATGTGTTAGGAGCACCTACAGAGTCTGTGCTCTGCCTTCATGTGTGTTAGGCACTTGTTTATCCCTCACGACGTTGTGGCCGCCCAGGACTGTCCCTGAGGGCGGGGCTGGGCAGAGTGGGTTTGTAGCAGGGGGCAGGACCTTCAGCCCGCCTTCCCAACACCCTGCCCCTCCCCTGGGCTATGGTCATCTGTGCCCACCTCCCCTTCTCGCCAGCCAGTTGGGGGGCACTAAGGGCCCTGAACATGGCGGTGATCACAGTCTTCTCCCTCTTCTTGCCACCATGGCCCCTTGGAGTCCATTGTCCAATGGGGAGCAATTAGAGTTGTTTTTTGTTTGTTTGTTTGTTTTTTTAAAATATATTTTTATTGATTTTTTACAGAGAGAGAGAGAGGGATAGTTAGAAACATCGATGAGAGAGTCATCGATCAGCTGCCTCTTGCACACCCCCTACTGGGGATGTGCCCATAACCAAGGTACCTGCCCTTGACCGGAATCGAACCTGGGACCTTTCAGTCCGCAGGCCGACACTCTATCCACTGAGTCAAACCGGTTTCGGCCACCTAGAGGTTTGTCGGCACGATCCTAGGGTGCTGTGGTCACCCAGCATGCCGGGCTTCATCCCCATCGTGATTCTGGGCAGGAAACGGTCACAAAGATGTAGAGATGCCGATTACGCCACCTTTCCCGCTGCCTTTGCAGCCCGCCCCCTCCCTCTGTTGTAATGACTCTCATCCCGTAACAGGTAGTTATTAGCAAGAAGGGCAAATAGGAGGCCTCTCCAGTTTCCTTCTGAGATGTACCATTCAAACCCTTCATGTGGTCAGTTGACAACTATTGAGTATCGGACCCTGGGGATAAGATGAACAAATACAGGGCCCTTGTTCTCAAAAATTAAATGGTCTACTGGGGACAGACATTAATCAGTAGCCACTCAAGCTGGCTTCTGGAGTGAAATCCTCTCTCTCTTGCTGGGCTCATCCTGCTTCCGAGGCTGGTGACAGACGCTGGACAGCTCACTCGGTCCAGCTGGAGCTGGCTCCTGCCAGAGCCTGGGCTGGGAGAGAGAAGGTGGGCCGGGCGGGCTCTAACAGGGACGGACTCTGGGTTCACAGGAGGCGGCTGGCAGGACCAAGTGGGTGGTCTGATGCCCGGCATCAAGGTGGGGCGCTCGCGGGCTCAGCTGCCGCTGAAGGTGGAGGTGGAGGAGGTCGCTGTGCCTGAGGGCTTCGTCCAGACGCTCAATGACCACCTGCTCCTGGTGTACACCGGCAAGACCCGCCTGGCGCGGAACCTGCTACAGGTGAGCCCCCGCCCGGGAGGGGGGAGGGAAGCAGAAGCTCCGCAGGGCCCAGCCCTTCATTGCACCCTCCTGCCCCACCTGCAGGATGTGCTGAGGAGCTGGTATGCCCGGCTGCCTGCCGTTGTACAGAACGCCCACAGCCTCGTGCGGCACACGGAGGAGTGCGTGAAAGCCTTCCGCCAAGGTGAGGTGCCTCTTCCCAGGGGCAGGGCACCGGGAAGGAGGGGTCTTGTCGCCCTTGGGTCTAAGGCAAGGGGCCTTTTCAGGCTGGTAGGTGGTAGGCCCCCGGGGACAGAAGCCTACCATCTGTCCTCCCTAGGGTCTTGCTTCCGTGGGAGCCGTATCTCAGGACAATACTTGCATCACGAGGAGGGTTTCCAGTCCTATCTGCCAAGAAGCAGCTGGGGGAAGAGGCTGGGCCCTTTAACCGAGTGCCAGGGAGACAGAGCTAAGCAGGGTTCAAGGGAGTGGCTGTATCGTTCACTGAACACGGCTGGAACCATGTCAGTTTTATGTCCCCAGACAACCCTGTGAGGAGGTCTTTGCCACTCGTGTGTCCAGCCCCTGGTTGAGCAGCACCTCTGGGCATGTTAGTGTCGATAAATGGGCATTGACAGAATGTTCTGGCTCAGGCACGCCTTTCCCTTCTCTGCCCCCCACCCCAGGAAGCCTGCCTCTGCTGGGCCAGTGCCTGACCTTGTACTGGGAGCAGAAGAAGCTCATGGCTCCCGGCTGTGAGCCCCTGGCTGTGCGGCGGATGATGGATGTCCTGGCCCCCCACGTGCATGGCCAGAGCCTGGCAGGGGCAGGCGGCGGGGGCTTTCTCTATCTGCTGACCAAGGAGCCAAAGCAGAAGGAGGCTCTGGAGGCCGTGCTGGCCAAGACTGAGGTACCTGGTGGTGTTGGTGGGGGGGCAGGAGCCCTCTCTGTGGCCCACTGGCTGATGAGGGGCTACAACTCCATGTCCCCCTGGCTTGTGGCCTCAGGTCGGCCTCCAGGAGGCCACAGGTTTGCACAGAGCCCTCTACCCACCTCTTGTCATTTGCTCGCAGGGCCTCGGGAACTACAGCGTCCACCTGGTAGAAGTGGACACGCAGGGCCTGAGCCTGCAGCTGTTGGGGAGTGAGAACTCAACCTGATGCCCCTTCCCATGAGGCTTGTCCCTCAGCAAGAGGAGAAAACCTGGAGCTATAGCAGCCCCTCCCTTCCGAGCACTCAGCCTCCGACTCCCCACCTACCTCTATGGATCTGCTCGCAAAGGAAGCCGACTGGAGTTTGGGCCCAGCCCCCTGGTGAAAGAGACACCGTGCTTGGGAACAAGACTGTGACCTCTTGATGAACTGTGGCCTAGGCTTGGCCTCTGCTCCATCTGGACATAGGAAGGTCCTAAGCTCAGTGTCCTTTGTGGCCTTTACCAATCCCGTGGCCCAGCTGGGGCCCTGACCTACTTGCTCTCCACGGGGGTCCTGGACGGGGGTGACAACCAGCCCTCGCAGAAGCCGGGTCCCTTGGTAAGGCTGACCCTGGAGAGGCCCTTTGAGGCGTTTCCTGTGGCCTTCCTTAGAGGCCGGGCTCTTGCCTGAATAGACTTCATGGTCAGTACTCACTCCCAGGCTGACTTGATGGGGGAGTGGGAGTGAGCCAGTGTGGTCTACAGCCAGTCACTGCCAACTCGGGCCTTCCCCTGGACCGTGGACTGTGCCATGTGGCCCTGAGCCTATGGGCAGTCGGTTTTCAGGACTGTGACCTTGGAATAAACCGAATCTGCCCTGAGGTTGTCCTCATAGAGCTCCTTTGTTCCTGCCAGGAGGAATTCCCACCTCCCCTGGCACCGTGGGAAACTGCCCGTGGGATGATCCAGCTGCTGGTGCTGAGGGTCCAGGGTCAGGTGGGTCCTGGCAGGAGCCGTGTGCCGCTCTGGGTGTGGGAGGAGGCCGAGGCTTGAGGCTTTTGCGTTCACATTTCAGTGCAACTGGAACACCTGTCTTGCCCTATAGCACCCAGCCCTCCCTGAAAACAGCACACTGGCATTTCTCCGAGGGGCCTCTTTAATCAGAGTGGACGTATCATCACATCCTTTTTGCGGAGTAAATCTAATTCTCTAGGTCCCTGGATGCACCCAAATCCTTTAGGGCCGGCAGTCTGTTTGCTGCAGTGTCCGGGGGGGGGAGCATGACCACCGTGGAGAAGGCTGGCCTGCGGTCACCTGCCCACCAATTAGGAGCCCGGGGAGACCCACCCCTTGGTGGGGAGAGGCTACTCCCAAAGCACCACCCGCTCGGTCTGAGTGCGGAGCGGAGTGGGTCAGTGCCTTTTCCCCTGCTGCCAATGGTGGAACAGTCTGGGCGGTCAGAGCTCTCCTCTTGCCGGACAGCTTTGCTCAGCTTCTTGGCTGTGGCCACTTAGTGTGACGGGCAGGTGGGCTCCCCCTGCGGCTACAGGCGCAGCCTCTTGATGTCCTCGTTGCGGAAGTCTATGCGCAGAGCCAGCACCTGACGCACTTCAGCAGGGGTGAGGCGCCATGTCAGCGGGCCAGAGTTGGCGCCCCAGTAATCGAGAATCTCAGTCACCTGTGGGAAGAGCAGAGCCAAATCAGCCAGGAGGGGGCGATCCTGAGGGAAGGCCGTGGCTCCACCAGGTTCAGAAGGGCAGAGCCCAGGAAGAGAGTTCCTGGCAGGGCTGGGATGCTGGCATGGTGGTGGAGTGGCTGGCATCCAAATGTGGTCTATGCTCTCTTCCCAGACACCTTTCCCCGGTTAGGCCGAGGGGCCCCACATACCCGCTCCAGATTGAGGATTGTGGCCATCTGGGAGAGCCGGGCAAACTTGTCTCGGATGGTCCAGGTGGTCACCGTGGTAAGGTAGGCAATGAGTGACCTCAGCTCCTTGTCAAACTGCAGACCGCCCAGCTGCAGGGGAACAGAAGCCCAGTCACTGTTCAAGGATGCAAATGACAGGCCCCATCTTCCTCAAAGGAGAAACAGAGCTGGGGGCCTGTCCTCCCTTGACCTTACCCGGTTGAAGGTGGATTTCAGCACCACTCTCTCCAATTCGACTGCAACAAAGCTGGTCAGGAGGCTGGTCAGATTGTCATAGATGACTGGAGACAGGCCGACCTACACACACAGGCCAGATGTCAGCTGGAGCCCACCCATCCCTCTGCCTACGCGGCAGAGTTTTTGGGCGGGAGGGACAGTCACATGAGGCCACCAAGGAGTGTCTCTACAGGCCAGGGCGTGGGAGGGCTTTCAGGGCTCCCAGCAGGCTGCTGATTTGGGCAGATGTGGGTAATTCCATAAGCTGGTTGCTAGAGCCCCTGCTCACCTTAAACTCAGCCATTTGCTGCTCCAGGTTAAGGATAAACTGTTGCACCCAAGGGTCGTTGGCCTCATAGTCATTGAATTCTTCCTGTTGTTAGGAAGCAGGATGGGTCAGTGGGGGCATTTTCAAGAAGAACCATTTACCCCACCCACTTCCACCTTCTAACAGAAGAGGTTCTCCTTCCTTGGTAGCTTTTGGCTCCGCCTTAAAACCAGCTTGGACATCGCAACTGGCAGTGACTGCTGCTGCTTCTGCACGACACTTCCCACTGGCAAACGGCCCTGACCTACAGCCACGGCCCACACAGTATGGTAAAGCTCCTGGCATTTTACTCACCCTTGCGTTTCATGTTCTGTAGCAGGGGTGGGCTGGGGAATGTCTGGCCTATGGATCCTATAAGGCCTGAGAAATCATTTAATCTGGTCTTGCTAAGGCATTAGGGGTGAGTTAATTAAATGCTTGACCAAATATAGCAGGCTAATTTTTAAGTTGATAATTTTGTATGGCCCACGAATGAAGTTATAAATATGGCTCTTGGCAGAAAGAAGATTCCCCACCCCTGTTCTTTAGGAATAAAATCCTTAGGTAAACAAAAAAAAAAAGAAAAAAAAGAACCTCAATAAGACCATATGTCAGGTCAAGGCAAACTCCCTTTAAATGTTTTTCTGAACCCTTCTGACTACAGGAAAGCCTGTTTCCTGGGAGGAACCCAGGCTATGGGGGTGAGGGAAGTGGGCTTGAGAAGTCTGAGGACCAGACTAGTCTGTTTAGACAGTTCCACTGCCCTCCAGCTGGGGAGGGGAACCAGAGGTAACTCTGAGCTTGATGGCTGCCTGTGGTCAGACTTACTTCCTCAATGTTGTGGGAAACAGAGAGAAAGGTGTTGATCCAAGGCTGCACCTGTGGCTTGATTGCTGTGTTGTTTAGCTCTGCCAGCCCTTCCTGCAAAGTACAAGTATCAGACCCAGAAGTCAGCCCCGTCTCCCTCCCACACACACACGCCTTTCCTTTCTCCAGCTCCATCCTCCACTGCCAGGACATTCTTCCAGCTCTGAGGCTATCTGCAGGCCTTGTTTGAAGTGTAACAGATAATGCTGATAAAAGAGGCCAAGAATACCATTCCTTTCCAGATCTGTGCCAATTCAGTCCAGGCCAGAGATAAGGCCTAGAGGCTGGTGTGTACAACAAGCATGTCAAACTCTAAGGCTAACACGGCCCAAATAAACCAGGTTTAAGTTTATGTGGGCCGCAAAAAAACAAAAGCTTCACTTTTCATAGAAATGTAGGTTTATTTCCATAGAGACATGCTAAATACAAAGGACTGAAATAAATGAGTAATTGTTAAAATAGATTAATAGAACATTTTAATAAAAATTAATATTTTTTTCTTGAACATTTACTTATCAGATACGGAATTACTGCACAAATTAATAAGTGTAATGCAAATAAACCTATTTTTTCTTGTTTTCTGAGAGCAAAATATTTCCTGTTGCGCATACCAAACAAGTAAGTCCAAGACTAATGATGGGGCAATCGGCTGCTAAAATATTCGCTGCTAGTATTAGTGGAGAGAAATGGTGTGCCTGTATGTAAGGCGTGTAAGTGTAATGACACAATTATAATAATCAGTCATTAGAGAACGTTTTGTAATTTGGTATTAATAATTATGAATAACAGGATATTGTAAAAATTAAGTTACAAAAATTTTATTAAAATGTTTCTTACATAACGTTATAATGGCTGGGCCGAAAAAATATTAATTGTGGGCCACATGGGGGCCTGCAGACCGCGAGTTTGACATGCTTGGTGTACACTCTCAAAAGAAGAGATTTCTGGCCCTGGCTGGTGTTGCTCAGTAGGTTGAGCACTGCCCTATTCACAGAGGTTGCTGGTTTGATTAAGGTCAGGGCACAGGCCCAAGTTGCAGGCTCCATCCCTGGCAGGCCAATAGGTATTTCTTTCATTGATGTTTCTCTCTCTCTCTCTCTCTCTCTCTCTGCCCACCCTCTCTGAAATTAATTAAAAAATTTTTATTAAAAAGAAAAAGGAAGAGATTTGAGTGCTCAGTACTATGCAGCACCTGTGACTAAGGCCAAGCAGTAGATCTAAGTAACCATGTGGTTCCATATCCTTAGAGCACCTTTCAGAGGGCTCCTGGCACAGTGGAGCCAAGTGCAGATTCTGGGTTTGAGGGCCAGTGACAATCGCACCGCTCAAAGACCAATGGGGTCTTTAGTCTCAGGCATCACATACTTTCAGTGGCTGCATGGTATTTCCTCACCCCTCCATGTTTCTTTCTTCTTTTTTTAATTTAAAAAAATATATTTAACTGACTTTCACAGAGAGGAAGGGAGAGGGATAGAGAGCTAGAAACATCATATATATATACCAGCCGTCTCCTGCATATCCCCCACCAGGGATGTGCCCTCAACCAATGTACATGCCCTTGACCGGAATCGAACCTGGGACCTTTCAGTCTGCAGATCAATGCTCTGTCCACTGAGCCAAACTGGTTTCGGCTTTTTCCTGTTTCTTTATACACAGGGTTCATAGTAAACCAGTAACAATCTTCTCCAAGCCACACAGGCAGAGGATTCAGCCAATAGCTGAACCTGGGGCTTACCTGCAAGAGGTCTTTGAATTTGTTGGACACGGCGGCCAAGTCAGAAAGGCAGCTGTCAAACTTGGCCTGGGCCTGCTCCCCACCAATGCCCTGGCTGAACAGCTTGGTACAGTCACTCTAGGAGAGAACACCCAGTTTTCAGGCTTCTGAGCAAGGGCCACGGGCGTGGGGAGGGGGCAACATGCAAACAGCCATT